CGACCTCTTTGCTCAGAGGGGAGCCTGCTTCTCCCCTACCTGCCCTTCCCCCTGCTTGTGCTCTCTCTTTGTCAAATGAATTAAAAAAAAAAAATCTTAAAAAAAAAAAGAAAAAAGATGCGGTGTATATATATATGTGTGTGTGTGTATATATATAATGGAATATTACAAAGCCATCAAAAAAATGAAATCTTGCCATTTACAATGATGTGGATGGAACTAGAGGGTACTATGATAAGCGAAATTAGTCAATCAGAGAAAGACAATTATCATATGATCTCACTCATATATGGAATTTAAGAAACAAGGAAGAGGATCATAGGGGAAGAGAGGAAAAAATTAGACAAGACGAAAACCAGAGAGGGAGACAAACCATAAGAGACTCTTTTTTTTTTTAATTTGTTATTTTTTTTAATTTTATTTTTTATAAACATATATGTTTATCCCCAGGGGTACAGGTCTGTGAATAGCCAGGTTTACACACTTCACAGCACTCACCATAGCACCTACCCTCCCCAATGTCCATAATCCCCCCCCCCCCCCCAACCCCCCCCCCCCCATTAACCCTCAGTTTGTTTTGTGAGATTAAGAGTCACTTATGGTTTGTCTCCCTCCCAATCCCATCTTGTTTCATTTACTCTTCTCCTACCCCCTTAACCCCCCATGTTGCATCTCCTCTCCCTCATATCAGGGAGATCATATGATAGTTGTCTTTCTCCAATTGACTTATTTCGCTAAGCATGATGCCCTCTAGGAGACTCTTAATCACAGGAAACAAACTGAGGGTTGCTGGAGGGGAGAGGGGTGAAGGGATGAGGTAACTGGGTGATGGACACTGGGGAGGGTATGTGTTGTAATGAGCACTAGGTATTATATAAGACTGATGAATCACAGACCTGTACCCCCTGAAACAAATAATACATTATGTGTTAATTAATTGAATTTAAATTTAAAAAGAGACATAGGGAATCTAGATGGATGTTAACTAAACTCATTGTGGTAATCATTTTGTAATATACACTACATATATCAAATCAGTGTGTTATATACCTAAAACAAATGCAATGTTATATGCCAATTATATCTCAATAAGAAAACTGAAAAAAAAAAAAAAAGAGAGAGAGAGAGAGATTCTAGGAAAATCAAAGAGAAATAAACCATGAAGTAAACATCAAGAAAACCATATTGTCCATGGTGGTTGCTTAAAAACAGGGGTTCTGAGGCCAGACCATCTGAGATCAACCTCCTAGTCCCACCTCTTCACTAGCTTCTGATGAGCAAGTTACTTATCCTGTCCCTCCTTGGGTTTTCTCATCTGTAAGATAATGATAATACCGAGCTCTTGGGCTGTTCTGACCATTAAAGGAGGTAATCCACGCCTAGTGCAGTACTTGGGCTGTAGTAAATGGCTGATAAATATTAACTAAGAGGAAAAACACTCACCTACTTCTATGTTTCTTAGTCCCTCTGGCTCCTTCACCTTTTTTTTTTTTTAATTTTTATTTCTTTTCAGCGTAACAGTATTCATTGTTTTTGCACCACACCCAGTGCTCCATGTTCCTTCACCTTTGAATGAGCTGATTCCTCTGCTTGAAAATCTTCTCCTTCACTGCCTAGCTTCTGTTTAGGACTTGGCTTAGATGGCAACCCACCCACCATCACTGCCAAGTTAGGCGCCTCTTCTAATATCTCCTGTTAAAAGCTTTATAATATCCTTTGTATCTCTCTAAGGCAGTACTCATCTTAATCTATAGTAACTGAGTATTTGTCTTTTTCACTAAATGGGAGCCTTTCAAGGCAGAGGCTCTGCCTTTTATTGTCCACTCCCTCCCCTACGCCTGGCACAGAGCCGACCACTCAAGCTCCGGGCCCTTTACGCCTGCCAAGGGCCTCCTCCATCTCCTGAAACCTGGTTCTGGGGGCCTTCTGGGACTGTGCTCTCCTTTCCGTCCTCAGCTTCGTGTCACACTGCAGCCCCGCCAAAGCCCCTCCCTGCTGGGCCTCAGAAACCCTCTTACTATGCCTGCAGCAGTCTGCACTGCCCAGCCTCTACCCTGCAGGATGCTTGGTACCCCTCTTGCCCTCCCAATGAGCTTGCCTCTAAGACAGGCTTGCTAGCAGGATTTCCCAGCAAAGCTCAGCTTCTACCAATGCACTGTCTAGCCTTTGACAGGGACACCATCTTCCTGGGAGACTGTCTTACATCTCAGACCCTATCAGAACCCAAACCAAGGGTCTCTTTTTCCATCTCCGTATATTTAAGTCTCCCTAATGATTTCTCCCTGCAGCTTCATGTTTGGCCTGCGTGGGTCACATGTAACTCTTGGGCCATTTGCACAAAAATGCCAATGAGGAGGTGGCCACTGCCTGAACTTCCATGGGGACCTCAGGACCAGGCTGGGCCTGGCTGGAGACCTGGGTCCCCCTAGAGGGCAAATCAGCCCACAAACCATCCAATGTATCTCTCCTAAGCCTGGAAGAGGGACCCTAACTTGGAATGAGGCTGGGAGCAGGTTCAGCAGAGAAGGGATGGGAAGGGTCAATGGAACCCTGGTTCTGATAGTGTGGAAAGAACAGGGCTGGGACCCAGCAGGAGCTCCCTGTGAGCTGGATGGCTCATTGTAATCATGTCTATGCTTTCTATACTGTCCTTATATATTTTCCACCCATGAAGTTCCCTGGGAAAAGGCCAAACTATCTCCACTATGCTAAGTGGTTTGAGCAAAAGAAAGGGTTGGGGTTTGAGAGCTCAGGGGCTCTCGGAGGCAGGGGATGCCTCTGCAGTCAGCATGATGATAGTGACCAGAATCAGAAGGATGGAGTGAAGGGGGAGGGGTAAGAACCTTGAGTCTGGCTTGAAAACCCACTCCCACTGGCTGCCCCACGCCCAGCCCCCAGTTCTCCTCAAAGCTTTTTTTTTTTTTTTTTGCAGAAACTGAGGGAGGCCTCTGCAAGAAAGCTTGCATGTGTGACCCCCAAACATGGTCACTTCCCCAGGAATCCCAGACTTCCTCAGGGATCCTGGGAGAGGTTTTACAGACCTCCCCAATCTTTTGCACCTTAACACCATCCAGCTGCATGAACATTCTACCAATAACAGGGGACGTGTTTACAAGCAGGTTTGTTTGTTTTTTTTTTTTTTTTTTGCTGCCGGTGCTGCAGGGGTGGTGTGGGGTAGGGGTCACTGCCACGATCCATCGGCAGCCTCAAGCCAAGAGAAGGCTGTGCAGGCTGGAAGGCCTCACTTCAAGGCGGTGGGCACCGAAAGTAGCAGGGAGTTATAAGCCTGAGGGGCTGATCCTGCCTACTCTCTCCACCCGCAGAAAAGGTGGGGAGATGGCACTGCAGCGATAGGAATGCTGGCTGCTTGGTGGTGGGGGGAACTTGCTGCAGTGGTGGAGGATCCCTCCGTGGAGTGAGTGGTCATTGAAGCGATCGCGAGAGCTGAAGACAGCTGCAGGGATGCGGGAAGATTTCTGCAGCGATGAAGGAGACCTTTGCAAAGGAAAAAGGCTGGCTTTTTTGGGGACGGAGGGAATGTCCTGCGGCGATGAAGCGCTGGCATCACTGCAGTGATGAAAGAGGGTCACTGCACTAAGGGAAAGCATAGCCAGGGCGAGAAGTGGGGTGATGCTGGGATAGTTGGAGTCCTTGCCGTGCTAGGTGGGGGTGGGGGGCTGCAGACTGAGCCCACTGCTGCACTTGCACAGCTTTTCACTTTCTGAAGGACGGAAAGGGTGGGGCTTCGGAGGCCCGGGTCCCTCCTCGGTGGGGGGCTGTGCAGCGGCGGGGACGCGATCCCTGCACTGCGGTGCCCTGTCTAGCTGGAGCGGCCAAGGCTGGCGCGGAGGCAGCACCGCGCCCGAAGCGGGGGCCGCGCGAGGAGCAGCAGCCAGACGCAGCGGCAGGCGGGGCCGGGGCGGGCTGAAGGGGCGGCCTTCCCGAGTGGGGGCGGGACCAGCACCCGCAGAGCCGACGCCCCTGCGCGGACTCAGAGCTGCCTCAGCGGGAGTCCCCAGCCGGTCCCCGCAGGTGACCGGACTGAGTGCGGCCCGAAACGCAGACGCGGCCCTATCCCTCTTGCTCCAGCTGTGGCACCCAGAACTCTGCAGAGGACGCGACGGTGAGGCTGGGGTTGCCCGCCGGGTGGGTGACGATTCCTAGACCCAACCCGCCGCATCCCCCGACAGCTCGGCTGTGGGACCCCCTACTCTCAGATCAGTTCTGCCAGGGTCGGGGGAGGTGGGTGCCCAGGACGGATCCCAGGGAATCCCCTTGCCCCAACGCCTCTCCTGGTCTTGCCTCCGAAAGACCCTGTCCTGTCGCTTCCCTGTCTCGTTCTTCCCACCCAACCGCCTCCACTCCGGCCTGCAGCCCCTCTCTGCGTGCGCCCTAGTCAGGTGAGGTGCAGGAGAAGGAAAGACTACGGTCCTTCGGCTCTCCCTCCCAACCCTCCCCGGGGATCCCTCGCTGGGCTGGGGACACTCAGGGGGAGGGTTAAAGGATGGCCCTTTAACTCCCCTGATCCTCACCCAGAGCATCTTCCATCTCGCCACCCGCGCCACTTCCGACAGCTGGCAGCCGCGGGGAGCCCCGGGGGCCGGCAGGTACGGGGGCGGCGGCCAGGCCGGGGAGCGGGCTATGGAACAGCTGTGACCCACCCCCCCATCCCCCCCCTCCTTTCCTGGAGGAGCAGGCGGCGGGAGAGCTGGGCGCCCAGAGCGCCAGTTAATCATTAACCCTCGGCTGCCCGGCTCCCCGCGCGGCTCCGAGCTGCGCTCCGCCCCGGCTTCCCAGGTAACCGGCTAGGATGCCCATCACGCCATCCCCCTCTTCCCTCCCCTCGCCACCTGTCGGTCCGGCCGCAGCCCCCGGCTCAGCCCAGCGCTCCCAGGGCCCGAGTTCGGTTTTCCCGGCGGCCTGCAGGAGGGCGGGATCGGGCGGCCGGGACCCACCCTGCGGCCCCCTTCTCCATCGAGCTCCCTTCCCCCAGGGGCGCCATGCCCGGCCTGTACTGCCCCTCCAGCTGGACGCCGCTGCCCCTCACCGACTCCTGGGTTCGGGCCTGCGCCAACGGCCCCTGCCTCAGCCTGCGGGCCCGGCTCACCTACCACAACCCGCAGCCGCAGCCGGTGGAAGGTGAGGCCCGGGCGGGGCGCGAGGCGCCGGGCGGCGGGGCGCGGGGGGGTGGGGGGCGGCGAGGTCCGACGCCGGCTGTGTCCCCCCGCCCCAGGCGTGTTCGTGTACCCACTGGCGGAGGCCGAAGTGGTCTCAGGCTTCGAGGCGGAGGCGGCCGGACGGCGCGTCTCGTTCCAGCTGCAGAGCCGGCGACGCTTGCAGGCCGCTTGCTGCCGCGCTCTGGGCCCCGGGTGGGGGGCCTCCACGCCCCGCCGCTGCGAGCAGGGTGAGTGCCGGCGCCCCCGCCCCGCCCCCGGAAGCCAGCCGTCCTCGGGTTCCCGCACCCTCTCCTCGTCCCACCCCTGCCCGCGCCCCCTCCAGCCACTGATTTTTTCATTCATTAATTCATGGCTTTGTGCAACAGTCATGGACTAGGCACCCGACGTGCGCCAGGGGCCGGGGCGATGTGACCCAGGCCGACCCGAGGTTTGCGGCCTGGGAGACAGACGCAGCTGGCAGTCCACACAGCAGTCTCCCCACCACTGGAGCGTTAGCTCCCGAGCCTGGGACGGGGCTTTGGCCAGCTCCAAGGCCCAGCATGGAATGTGGCATATGAGTGCTGGCTTGGGGAATGGAAGCCCATTCCTGAGCCAGATTTTTTGCCTTGCACGTCATTCTTTCGTTTATTTATTTGTACATTCATTTGACTCCTGCACTTGGGATTTACCTTCCCGTAGGAGAGACAGCGTCCAGTGGTGTTGAGAGTTGGTGTTGAGAGTTGGTACCAACCCAGCAGGTAGTTAGAGGCCAGAGTAAACTCTGGGCTGAGGCCCCAGGAGTGTTCCAGAAGGAAGTGCAGCCGGAATTTGACCAAAAAGAATGGTATGACTAGTGAAGTGGAGAGGAGGGAAGAGGCCCTTCAGTCAGGGGCAATGGTGTAAACAAAGGTTTGGGAGTAAGTTGTGTTGAGTGATGGTAATAAAATACCTCGTATTTGTAGTAATTTACAGTTGACAAAGTCCAGTCACTGATATCACCTCATTTGAATCCAGAGAGGTATGTAATGCAAGTGCTGTTCTCTATCCCCCTTTTACAGGTATGAAAATAATAAGAACAGCCCTTCTGTGTTGGGTGTTATGCGTACATTATCTCATTCTTCACCAGTCATTGAGATATAGTTATTATGACTCCCATTTCATGGATGAAGAAACTGAGGCTCCTCAAAACAAGAGAGTTACCAAAAGGCCGAATTAGAAGTCACAGAGCTGAGACTCAAAACCTGATCCTGTGCTTTTTCCCTGTATCAGGCTGTCCCCAAGCCGCAGATTAGGATAGAAGTCCCTTTTTTCCTTTTTCTCTCCCTTTTTTCTTTCCTTCCATCTTCTTCTTCCCTTCATTTATTCTGCAAGCATTTCTCAAAAGAATGGATGATGATTATTGTGGGGAAGGGCTATAAAGGCAGACTGGAGCCAGACCATGTAAGGCCTTGACTGCCACTGTACACACCTGGCCATCTTTCCTTTAGCACCAGTGACTCCCATGATTCCACCTGTCCCTAGATAAACCTACAATATGAGTAAAATGGTGTGCTCAGTATGCAAGTACAGCTTTGTGTCCTCTAGCCAGCTTCTAAGCAGATCACTGCTCCTAAACCCCTCTTGGGTAGAAAATTCTGGAGTGGGCAGTGGGGAGCCCCTGACTGTTCATGAGCTGGGGATTTATGACTGGGCTGGATCCCAGGCTATGGGAGATGTCAGCGCACAAGGGAGGGTCCTTAGGAAGATGATGCCCAAGGGTTGAATGAGCAGGCAGGGGAAGAAGGGCAGAGGGTATGGGTCCCCTAGGATCTTGGGGGTAGTGTGGACATATCCCCTTCTCCTCAGCTCTCCATTAGCAGGACATCACTACTTTTCCTGATGACAGCCAGGTCCTTTTACCACCAGCCTGCCTCTCCATCAGCCATCATTCAGTTCATGCCTCCATTCTGCATCACCAACACATAAGCCCTGTGTCCCTCCAGCTTTTTAAAGTACCCCTTGCCCAGGCTCCCCTGCGTCAGTGCATGCTGTCATTTCCTATTTCCCCCATCTCCTCTACTTCAGCTCCCTCTGACCCCTTTTCTCACTCACCATAGGTCATCTTGTCTTGGATCCGGCCCAGGCCCGGTCTGCACTGGTGCTGCCCACAGGCCTCATCAACGCGGCCGGCACCATGACGGTGACTCTGTGCAGCAGTCGGGAGCTGCCCTCCAGGCCTGATGGGGTGCTGCGCGTGGCTCTCCCCTCTGTGCTCACCCCGCTGGCCTCATCAGGCCCACCGGGGCCCCCCAGGCCTCCGGGGCTCTGTGACGACAGGTTGGGCCTATGGTGATTCTCTTCGTCCCTCCCTCGGCTTCTCTGGGTCTAGTGCGGGTGAGGGGGCTTTGGTAGGGTGCCCTGGGGGATGGGCAGGGTGGGGAAGGGCTGGGGCTATTCAGCCAGAGGGGCTAGGGGCCTTGGTGGTGGCCCGGTGACCCTCCTTGTACTCCCTTTCAGCCCCACCAGATGCTTTGGGGTGGGCAGCCCTCAGGAGGAAGGGTTTGCCTGGGAGGAGCCTGCTGCCCCTCGGGATGTGTTCTCGGGCCCTGCCCGCTGCCCTGCCCTGTACACCTTCTCCTTCGAGATGCTGGTCACTGGGCCATGCCTGCTGGCAGGTGGGTGCCCCTCCCGGCATAGCTGACTAGGGAATAATTCAGGACTCAGGACTGGGAGGAACACAGGACCCCCCCCCCAAAAAAAAACCCCAAGGACTTAAGCCTTAGGAACCTCCAGTTTGGGCGGGAGCATCCCCTGGAAGCTTCTACACAACACACACCACCCCCTAGGTTTGTCTGTGTAATTTATTCACATCCATTCACCAAGGGGAAGAAAGATGATTAAATTGAGACTAGTCCAAGCGATGAAGTGGAGTTCCTTGTGGAAGAAGTGGGGGAGGATGCTAAATCAGCAGCTGGCTGATATGTAACTGATCAGCCAGGAACAGAACCAGGAATCTACCTCCCAGCCCAAGAAAGTAGGCAAAATCCCTCTGCTTGTCCATCCAACCCTAGGGATCAGGCTCTGAGAGCTGAGCTGAATCAGCATGATCCTTGCCCACGCCGCTGTTGTCCGGAAGGTTGTATTGGTGCTTTAGGACTGGCTTGGGGTGGGCGATCATCCCCTCTCCCTGCCTCACTATCCCTCAGGCCTGGAGAGCCCCTCTCATGCTCTGAGGGCAGATGCCCCCCCTCATGCCAGCTCTGCAGCCACCATCTGTGTCACACTAGCAGAGGGCCACCGCTGTGACCGGGCGTTGGAGATCCTGCTGTACCCCAGTGGTGAGAGACTGGGGCACACAGTGGGCCAGCTCTGACCTGCTTCAGGACTACCTGGGTAACATTTTTCAAGTATAGATTTCTGGGTCCCAAGCCAGATGAATCAAGTCATCTGTGAGGGTGGGCCCCATGGTATAGGGAGGACCTCCGCAAGGTCCTCCCGAGAGAGTGGGACTAAGCCACTGGGGTCCAGAGACAGGGACTTTCTAAAAGCTGTGTCTCCTCTTCCCTAGAGCCCCACCAGCCACACTTGATGCTAGAGGCTGGCAGCCTGAGCTCAGCAGAATATGAGGCCCAGGTGAGGGCCCGCCGGGACTTCCAGAGGCTACAGCGAAGGGACAGTGATGGGGACCGGCAGGTATGGCTGCCCGGGGTCCTGGCCTGGCCTCCGACCCCAACACTGGCTGCATTTGTGCACAAGGAACAGATAAGCAGGCTCATGTTATAATGGAGCAGGGGTGGGCAGCTCTGCTCCTAGCAGGACCTCCTAGTAGCTGCCACCACCGTCCCAGAGGGTAGATGAGTGCTGTCATAGGAGGGCCCACACAAGTCTCCCTGGGGTGTGTCTCCGAGGATGGGGGCTAGGAATGACAGGCAGGGGACAGACACCTGCCTTTGCTCTTGCCTGTTTTCAAAGGCATATGAAAAGGTGCCCCTCTGGGTATATTGGATAGAAGCCGCCTGAGGGCTAGGTCCTGTTGCCAGCCAGGGCTGGGGTTGCACTAAGCCCGGGCCAGGATGACTTGGGGCTCCCCTGCTCAGGTGTGGTTCCTGCAACGGCGCTTCCACAAGGACATCCTGCTGAATCCCGTGCTGGTGCTGAGCTTCTGCCCAGACTTGAGCTCCAAGCCAGGACACCTGGGCACAGCTACCCGGGAGCTCCTTTTCCTGCTGGACGGCAGCAGTGTAGCACACAAGGCCTGTGGGGGCGAGGCACGGGTGGGCCTGGGGGGGGCTGGGAGAGGGGAAGTTGGCCTGAGGGTGGCTGAGGGCAGCCTCTCAAAGATACATGCACACACGCATACACCCCCCCCCACACACACACTCACACAGACGTGTATCTCCTGGATTCCAAGAGCCTCTCTCACCTGTGAAGTTACATTCAGTCACCCCAATTCCAAACCCAAGGATTCACAACCCCTTCCAGGAGCTTCCACAAACTTCACCTCCCTCCTAACCCATCTCACACACAGCCTCATTCCTGCACGGCCTCTCCCAGATCCCCACTGCCAGATCCTCATTTTCACACAGCCTGGAGAAGGCAGGCTGGCAACCCCACCACTGCCCTTGGCACCTGCTTCATGGTGCCCCCCTCCCCGGTTCTCCCCAGGACGCCATTGTTCTGGCTGTGAAGTCACTACCACCACAGACACTCATCAACCTGGCTGTGTTTGGCACGGCGGTGCAGCCCCTCTTCCCAGAGAGCCGACCTTGCAGTGACGTGAGTATGGTCCAGGGATTTGGGGGGCCTGGAGAAGCTATCTCAGCCTGGTGTGGCCAAAGCATACCTTCTCTTCCCAGGACACTGTGCAGCTGATCTGCGAGAGTGTTGAGACCCTGCAGGCTGCAAGTGGTCCCCCAGATGTGCTGGCTGCACTGACCTGGGCCATGGGGCAGCCCCGGCACAGGGCCCACCCCAGGCAGCTATTCCTGCTGACCGCTGCCTCGCCCTTGGCTGCTGCCGCCCATCAAAGCCTGGACCTCATGAGGTGGCACAGGGGGGCAGCCAGGTATGGGCTGAACCAGGTACCTGAGATTGACCCCCGCCCCTAAAAGGCTCCTGAAGGTCACAGATGCTTCCCTTCCCTCATCAGGTGCTTCTCTTTTGGGCTGGGGCCTGCCTGCCACCAGCTGCTTCAGGGTCTGTCTGCCCTCAGCAGAGGCCGGGCCTACTTCCCAAGGCCTGGGGAGAGGCTGCAGCCCATGGTGAGCTTGAGCCTGGGCCCTGTTCCCTACTCTCGGAAGCCCTTCCCCCAAGTTACCCTAAGCCTGCAATAGAACCCAGTCAAGCTGTGGGGTCTCCTGGCACCCTTGATCAGGACTTCTCTTTCCCCATTCTAGTCCATCTCCTCCTTTGAGATGCCAATCAGGAGAGGAGCTGCTGGGGTTGTTGTGGGGTGCTGCAGGAGGCCAAAGGTGTGGGGGACATGGCTCTCTGACTGCCCCCTAAATCTTATTCTTATTCTGTTTTCTCTTGGGACCAAGTGCCATATCCTTGACAAATCTTACCTCATCCCCAGGCTTGGCTCAGGCCAGAAGACAGACCAAACCCTGAGGACTGAGCACTCAGTCCCCTTGCTTATTCCTACCCCCATTCCTCCCTTGGACCCCGGCCTGACCCTGCTCCCCTCAGCCCAGGGACTAGGCAGATGGCATCAGCGGAAGGGTGGCTTTCCTGCTCTGTGGGCTGCGTGGCCCTCTCTCCCATGTCCTCCCTCTGGCCACTCCTCCCAGCTGGTGCAGGCTCTGCGGAAGGCACTGGAGCCCGCCCTGAGCGACATCTCTGTGGACTGGTTTGTGCCCGACGCGGTGGAGGCACTGCTGACACCCCGGGAGATCCCGGCACTCTACCCTGGGGACCGGCTGCTCGGGTACTGCTCACTCTTCAGGGTGGATGGCTTCCGGCCCCGCGCCCCCGGGGTAAGCTTGGGCTGTTGGAACTCCATGCATGTCTTCAAAACTCTTCCACTCCCTGCCAGGCTCTCCTACTGCACCCTTGGCCTCCCTAGGGCCCCCACTGGGCGCCCCAAGGTGACTGCAGCCTGTCCTTTTCATGAGGTCTTCCACTAAATTGTCCCATAAGTTGTTGTCCTTGGCTTTGACCGAAGGTGGCCACAGAGCTCTAGCATCCACTCTGAGGGATTTGTGGAAACTCACTCATTTCTTCACACAGTGCCCTACAGAAAGCACCATCTGGATTGTTTCCTGGAATGCTCAGAAACAGACGGAGCAGGGTCTAGATGAAATCTAGCATTCGATTTGGGGCCAGCCCCCTCACCTTGAGCCCATTTCCTCATACTGAGTCTTACTGCAGGGATGCTGTGATCAGTCGCAGTGCACACTTGGTAGGACACTTGACATGCATGAAAGTGTAAGAAATGGTAGTTATTTCGATTTACAAAAAGGTTTCTCTCTCTAGAAGAAATAAGCACGCTTCCTTGTCTTGATCCAGAGTGCTGTATAATGGAGGCTTTGCCTTTTTGCCTGCCTGCCAGGAAGCTCAGGGCCAAACCTGAACTTCAGCCACAGCAGCTCTGCTAACCTGATCAGCACATATGCTTCCTCCTTCCTCAGGACAGGGCTTTCATTTCTGGTTTATTAACTTCATTGCCTCTTGTGGTGAGATATCTACAATCCTGTTTGAAAAGAAGCAGCATATAACTAGCACCCATTTTTTCTCCAATGCCTGTCCCTCTCCAGGGCCCAGAACCTGGCTGGCAGAGCTTGGGAGGCTCCGTGTTCCCATCCCCAGAGGAAGCACCATCTGCCACCAGTCCTGGCACTGAGCCCACTGGCACCTCAGAGCTGCTGGGAACAGGCACTGTGTCAGCGGAGCTGTCCAGCCCGTGGGCTGCTGGGGACTCGGAGCAGAGTGAGCACCTGGACATGGGGTGCAGCTGTGCTGGAGGAGTGGGCCATGGGAGAGGCCGGGGCTGGGATCTGTTCTCTTGCCTCCCAGCAGGTACTGATGCTCTGACAGAGCCTGTCACAGACCCCGGACCCAACCCCTCCTCGGATACAGCCATATGGCGCCGCATCTTCCAGTCGTCCTACATCCGGGAGCAGTATGTGCTCACCCACTGCTCCGCCAGCCCCGAGCCAGGTCCAGGTTCCACAGGCAGCAGCGAGTCCCCTGGCTCCCAGGGCCCTGGCTCCCCCGAGAGCATGGCTCCCCTGCATCTCCCTTCTCAGCAGGGCTGCCGCAGCCTGGCCTGGGGAGAACCTGCGGGCTCCCACTCCTGCCCCCTGCCTCCGCCCCCGCTGGCTCCAGTCAAGGTGAGGGTCAGCCCACATCCCTTCTACTAGGTATCCAGCAAAAGTTTACTGGCCATCAGCTATAAGCCATAAATTTTGCAGTGGTTACTATTCAGTCCAGCTGGAAAGACAGGTGGGTAAATCTGTAATGATACCATGTGACACACCGTGTGAGCACAAGGACACAGCATTATGGGGAGTGTCAGAGTCAAGATGGCTGACCCTGTGTGAGGGAGTCAGGAAAGCAAGAGCCACATCTGGAAGAACAAGTAGAAGCTAGCCAGGCAAAGAGGGAGAAGCCATGAATAAAATCAGAGACGAGCAACAACGTCAAGTGAGAAATGGGGCACGGAGTGAGACAGCACTGCGAAGGGGCCAGGGGCCATAAAGAATGGCCTTGCTCCTAAGGGTGGTGAGCAGCCACCCACAGTTTCAGACGAAGGGCTCTGGGGCCAGTTGTGTCTACATGCATAGTGGCCGGCAGCTCTGCATTTCTTGACCAGTGGACCCCACTTCTTATGTGCAGTCTGGGGCCTTGAGCGCGGAGGTGCTGGGTCGTCGACGCAGAGTGGCTCTGGCTGGCCGGAGCCTCTCATCGCCCCCAGGCCAGGTGAACCCAGTCCCTGGCCATCCCCAGCACCCCTCTCTGGGCACAGCACCCGATGGGCCAGGCCCTGAGTCAGGGCAGCAGCTGGGACAGGACCTGGATGACTCAGGTAAGGGTTGGATGGGGAGCTGGGTTCTGAGACCGCGGAGGGTCTCGGAGAGGTGGGGCCTGACACTGCCCCTGCCTTTATGGTTGTCTCCCTCCAGGAAACCTGCTCTCCCCGGCCCCTATGGACTGGGACATGTTGATGGAACCCCCCTTCTTATTCACGGCTCTGCCCCGCAATGGGGAGTCAGCTCCTCCAGCAGAGGCACTGCCTCCCCAGGCTCCACACTGCCATGTGGTGATCCGGGCCCTGTGTGGAGAGCAGCCTATGTGCTGGGAGGTGGGTGTTGGCCTAGAGACACTGTGGGGACCTGGTGATGATGGCTCACTGCCTCTGTCATCCCCTGAAAGAGAAGGTGCTTGGGACCAAGCACTCCATCGGCTGACAGCAGCCTCCGTGGTCCGGGACAATGAGCAACTGGCCCTCCGTGGAGGGGCTGAGGCCACGGCTGACCGAGGTGAGCTACTAGTGGGCCTGGCAAGGGTCCCAGGAGCCCATATGGGGCAGAGAGTGGCAGAAGTGGAGGTCTATGTGTTTGATCACTCTATATCTCATTTTGCTCACAAACAGTTTGAAGTGGCTTACCCATATTGACAAGGAAAAAAAAAAAAAACAGGGCAATCGGATAATAAAAGGAAGTGGAGAATCAGGTTATATTAAAGATATGCACACCATGAGCTTATATGCCCTAGCAAGCAGGGGACCCCAAATTGTCAGGATTCCTAGCAGCCAACAGAGGGAAATGCAATCTCCTTAATGACTCACAGGGCCTGTAACATAGAAACAAATCTGTCATTCAGGAGGACTGTTAAGTCAAAGAGTGAACATTTCAGTACAGCGGTACTAGCCACACATCAAGTGCTTAACACTAACACACGGCTAGTGGTTATCATACCAGATATTGGAAATCTAGAACATCTCATTCACTGCAGAAAGTTCTGCTGGACGGTGCTAAAATGAGTGGACAGAAAAGGCACCACATCAGTGCTTCCTTTGGGTGGTGAACAAAACATTCGATTTCTGGGTGGCCTGAGGGTCTAGCCCTGTTATGAGCTGAGGGTTCAGTCTAACTGCTTCGAAGTTGGGGAGTCTGAGCTGGCTCCTAGAAGGAACTCTACTCTGTTCAAAAGTGGACAGAGGGAAAATCTGCGCAGAACACTGAGATTTGTTTCTATAAAGCCCTTTGTGCTGGTTAGGGGGTGGGGGATGTCCCTGCTTCCATTCAGCTTGCTGCTCCCTGGTCTCACAGGCCATGCCCGGAGGTCCTGGGTCCGAGCCCTTCAGACAAGCAAGGTCAGCTCTGCCCCTTCCTGCTTCACTTGCCCAGTAGCTGTGGACGCCACCACCAGGGAGGTCCTACCCTCAGCCCTGCAGGTGCGGAGCTCAGGTAGAGTCCCTCCTGGGTGACCCTCTCTGGTGCCACTCTCACTTCACCAGCTGCCCTCCCAGCTCACCATCTCCTGTGCCCCTACAGAGCTGGCTGAGCCCCTAAGCACTTCTCCTGCACCTCAGGGCCATTTAGATGCAACTCCTCTGTCCACAGCTGTGCAGTCTAGAGGTAATGCTCGAAGTTGGGGGCGGGTAAGGAGCAGGCAGGTTTAGGGACCACGACTGGCACTGACTGGCTCCCTTGCAGGACCTAAGGGAGGCTCTCCGGTGGCCGGCTGGAACCCGAACCCAAATGGCAACCCCAAGTTGGCCACCGGAAGTCCTCCTCGCCTCCCCCCCCAGCCTCCTTCTAGGCTCAGCCTGGGTGGGGGGAGGGCCAGAGGCTCTGACAGCCACCGACTCTGCAGCCCTCACCGGGACCAGGCTAGTGACAGCAACAGTGAAGGCAGCGACCACGACTACTTGCCCTTGGTGAGGACTCGGGAGGTGGAGGGTGGCACTGCCACGGCCAGGGCACTGTCTCAGCTCGCTTCTCCCCCCACCTCCTCTCTCCTCAGGTGTGGCTGCAGGAGGCTCCCGGCTCCTTCCGCCTGGATGCGCCCTTCTGTGCAGCGGTGCGCATCCCGCAGGAACGCCTGTGCCGCGCCTCGCCCTTTGCTGCGCACCACGCCAGCCTCAGCCCCAACTCGGCCTCCTCTCCCTGGGCACTTCTGGGACCGGGTGTGGGCCAGGGCGACAGTGCCACAGCCTCCTGCAGCCCATCCCCCAGCTCAGGCTCCGAGGGCCCAGGCCAGGTGGACAGCGGGAGGGGCTCTGACACTGAGGCCTTGGAGGGCGCCGAAGGGCTAGGCGGTGCTGACCTGCGGGGCCGGACCTGGGCCACAGCCGTGGCCCTCGCGTGGCTGGAGCACCGCTGCGCCGCCGCCTTCGGCGAGTGGGAACTTGTGGCAGCTAAAGCCGACTGTTGGCTGCGGGCGCAGCACCTGCCCGATGGCCTTGACCTGGCTGCCCTCAAAGCTGCGGCTCGGGGACTCTTCCTGCTGCTCCGACACTGGGACCAGAACCTGCAGCTACACCTGCTGTGCTACAGTCCGGCAAATGTGTGAGGACTGCCCACTGCTCGGCTGGCGCTGCCTGACAGACTCAAGTCACTGCCACCCAGGCCCGGCTTCTCCGTGCTGGTGCTGGGAGGGGCGGGCTGGTGTCCGCCTGACCCCCACTGCTTCTCATCCCCTTCCCAGAATGCCCCTGCCCTCACAGAAAGTGCCTGCCTGTGCTCTCTCTCTCCCACTCCTCCCAGCCCAGGTCTTTTCCCTTCTGAGCTCCATGCAGTGCAGTGTGGGAGGGGAGAGAGCCACAGCCCCCAAATCCTATGCAATAAAGTGCCTCTTAGGACTGCCCAAATGAATTCTTTATCTGCAGTAAGCATGCCCCTCACAGCTTGGTGCAGGCCCTTCCACATAGGCTGCAAAGAGGTGGACTGTGTAAGGTTTATTGGGAAGGGCAGAGAGTCTATTCCCATCCAGGGTCCTACGAGTGGGCTGGAGGGGAAGGGAGGTGGCTCTCAGTGGGCTTTCTTGTTGTGCTGGATGCTCTTGGGGAAAGGCTGGGGGCCCAGCCAGAGCTGCAGGAGGATGACAGCATGGCATATGTGCAGGGCTGCAGAGCTGCAGGATGTGGATGGGTATGTGTTCCAGGAGAGCTCGATGAGCCCTAGCACCAGCAACCTAGAGAGGAGAGAGCAGCTCAGGTTTTGCCCAGTTTCTAGGCCTGCAGCCCTTCAGCTCGCCCAACACTCCACGGTCAGCCTGGGGATGGGGAGCTCCCTTGCCCGTCCCACATGCCCAGGTTGTCGCAGCCAGTACCTGAGCAGATGTGTAAGCCAGCGTGCAGGCGTGGCCCACAGGAGGTAGGGCAGTGTGTGGAAATACCAGACGTAGAACTGGTAGTGGAGGGAGCGGCTGAAGCAGATGCCAATGAAGTTGGAGGTAAAGAGGGTAGAGATAATCTGTAGGCAGTGGTCAAGGCCAAGGGCAGGAACAGAAGGGCCAGGAGTTGGGATGGGGGTTGAGCCAGGGAGATTCCAAAGTAAAGGGACAAAAGTTTTGGGGTCAGACAGCCCCCCGGCTCTGCCATTCCGAGATGCATCCTTTTGGACGAATTTCTTAACTTCTCCAGACTGTTCTTCAATCTAATGTGAGACAATGATACTCGGGCCATAAGGCCTAGTGAGTTTAAATTCATCACTTACAGGCTAAGTGACCTAAGTAAGTTACGTAAACTCCTTAACGTCCTGATTTTATCATCTGTAAAATGAGCACTGTCATCATCAGACACCTCCCTACTTCAGAGTCTCTTGCAAAGTTTAAATGTTAGAATATATGTAAATCTCTTAGGACACCACCAGGTAGAGGGTGAGTACTTATAATGGTAAGTCAAATAATATTTAGGATTAAGAATAAAATACGCTTAAATATGTGAAGTGCTTAGCACAGTGGTGCAGAGTGGTAGAGGTAACAGCTCTACTCCCATGAACAGGGCCTATAGCTATTACTGGTACCTCTTTTTCCCTCCCCCAGGTCACCAGCCATCCAGGGCTAACCGACCAGGACTCCAAGTGTACCTGGAGAGGGCAAGACTTACCTTCCTATGATTTAAAGGATATGATTGGGTGTGAGGGGCTGCGGTGGAACCTTCCTTTTGGAGGGATCCTTTAGCAGCGACAGGATACTTTCCCCCGTCCTGGGGAGAAGCCATTCACACATTTATCAAGCCCCAATCTTAGGGCAAGTTTAGATTCACCCACGTGAACTCAACATCTCCCCCAAGCAGGCAAACAGGCCCTTCATCCTCCCCCCAACTCTGCCCATGACACTGCTCCCCTTTCTCACCTGTGCCACCTGCAGAAGGCAAAGAGAAAGAGCAGGGTGAGGTGGGCGGCCAACAGTGCCAGGTGGAAGGCACGATGCAAGAAGAGGGCCTCAGGGAGGAAGCGCCAGTTCACTGTCCAGCGGAAGAGAAACTGGCGGCCAAGGTCAAAGGAGCGGGATAGGTAGCCAATGGGGTTCTCCAGCAGGAAGGGCAGCCCCAGCACCACCTGAGGATAGGTGTCATGTCAGCACAGGTGCCCAGGCTCAAACTGAGCCTTCATACTAATCATGGAAGGGAGTGGACAGAGGGCACAGGTCTCAGAGGTTCTCAGATTCCCCTAGGAATAGCAGGCAAGGCAGCTTCCACATCCAGGCCAGAGCCTGGGGCCAAAGAAGCTGAGAAGGCAGGTAATAACAGTCCTTTAAGTTTGGATTCACCATGTCATAAATGGGCAGAATCGGAGACCCTCAGAAACCATCTAGTTCAACACCCTCATTTTACAGCTAATAAAAACAAAGCTCAGAATCAACTCCAAAATCCTGTCTGTTAGCTTTGAGGAAGTCTCATCGATGGAAGGAGGCCAGAGAGTAGCCTCCCCTTCATTGGGAAGGGGAAGGGGTGGTGGTGGGGTACCTGAAGGACAGCACAGATGCCCAACTTGGGGAGGGCTCCACGGAAGCCAAATTGCATGAGGAGAAGAAATAGCAACCCAGGGGCGAAGAGTAGCACATTCATCTTCACGGAGACTGCCAGGCTGGAGTAGGTAAGGGAGGAAGCGGGGAGATCAGCTCCAGGGCCATTTACCCTCCCAAAGATCTCTCCCCTGATGCACACACAGCAACTCCTCCCCTCCCCTGCTAGCAAGCTCCAGGATGGGGCCCACACTCAGAATTGCTGGAAGGAGGAGAAAGCAGTCTAGGAGGAGGCTGAGGGTAAGGGGCGGATACCAAGTCTCTATGCTCAGACTGGGCCAGCAATACATATTTAGAGTATTTATAATGTGCAAGAACCAATTCCAACAACAGATGCTGTCTAGAAGGAAGAGAGGATGGGTAGAGGGTGTGTGTTTCTTTGGGGGGGTGGGGGCAGAGACTTTCTACAGATCCTAGACTTGTTTAGTGGGGCCCTGACTGACCCATATTGTCTGGTTACTCCCTTACTTCCTCTGCTGAAGAAAACTGGGGGAGGAAATGGTGGAAATACAGAATGAGAGATGGGGGAGAAGGGAGGGGTGTTGACCTGAAACAGCAGCAGCCCCAGCCCCAGCGCTGGGCCAGCAGGAGGTTGATACTGAGGAAGAGCAGAGCCATGGCCACCGGGTCATTGAAGAGCCGAAGCACGAAGATGGAGTGGACACGGTACGAGGCGCAGCACATGAAGAAAAAGACGAAGGGAGGTACCTGAGAGGTGGGCACAGTGGGGAACAAGGTCAGCTCACCAAACCTGAGCCATCCCTACTCCCCAGTACTGCCTGTTGGAGCCCCGTTTCCAGGAGCACGAACTCACCTTGCAGGTCTGGTGGTAGATCAAGAAGACAAGCAGCAAGGTGGCCAGGTAGAGCACGGCAAAGATGTGCTGGGCCATGCGGATATCAGTGCCCTGGCCAGTGGCATAATATAGCCCCATAAAGATGTACACAAAGCCGGCTGGGTACCTGGAAGAGGAGTCTGGGTCAGGCTGCCCAGCCTGGTATCTGGGCAGCCCCTCGGGTCCTCACAGAACCCTTTATCACCACTCACACAAGAGGTCCAGTGTCACCCTGCAGTTGGGTGTAGTCATAGGTGCCATTGATGACGCCCTCCACCTGGGCCATGTAGGCCTTCCAGTCAATCTCTGTATCTGAAAAAGGGTAGGACGGTGTGGTTACTTCCAAGCTCAGAACATGTCTGCCCCCCCCCACACCTCCCACCCCTCAAAACACAGAGTTCCAGCTCCTTCCCAGGACTTTTATCACAACCCCTTATCTCACTGCCTATCTGGCATTCTCTGGGTGAACCCAAGCATCTCAAATTCAGCATGCCTGTACATGACCTCAAACCATCCACTCTAAATCTGCTCTCCCTCCTGGGTTCTATGAACAGCACCATCAACCTCCCAGCTGCCCAAGTCACAAACCTGCGTAAATCTTTGACACTTATTTCTTTCTCACTTCCAACACCCAGTCACCAAATCCTGCCTATTCTTCATCCTAAATAACTCTACTATCTCTCATCCTTTTCTGCTCTTACATACTAATATTTGGACCTAACATAATCTCTAGCCTCAATGATGCAACAGCTTCCAAATTATTAGTTTCCCAGCTTCTACTTTTAACCCACTACAATATATTTCCCACCCTGCAACTAGAGAGCTCTTCCTATAATAGAAATTATGTCAGATCTCTGCTTAAAACCCTTCAATGATTCCTCAAGTTTCCTAAGATAAAAATCAAACCCTATTATTCCCAATTTTAGAAAAGGAACCTGTGAATTAATGAGGTTAAGCAACTAGTTCAAGATCAGTGAGCTAAGAAGGGTAGAGTTGAGACTGGAACTCCATGAGGTCCTAAATTTTTAACCACCGTGCTAATTATCTCCTTAACACAACTGACAGACGCTTTCATGATTTGGTCTCAATGTCTGCAACCTCATCTCTCCCTGCTACCCTCACTCGAATTATGTTCCAGCTCTAAAACAAATTCAGTTCCTCAAAGGAAGCAGACTCTCTTCAGACTGGAGGTTTTAGTTACAGGATTCTCTGCCTAGAGTGCTCTTTCTCCTCCCCTTTTCTCTCTTTCCTCACCTAGCTTCCTCTTACCCTTCAAGGGGACTCAAGTCTGGCTTAAGTGCCCTCCTGTGTCCTTTATGGTTCCCTGTCTCCCACTGTCATGATGAATATGATCCACCATCATTTTCTACTAACTTCTTTTTGTCCAGGCCCATACACCCAATTAGGAAATGTGTCTATTTTTTCACCATTGTACCCCTGGTACCTAGCATAGTGTTCTTAAGCATATAATAAACATTCAATAAGTGTATGTTGAATTAATCATCTTTAGCAAAAAAGCCTTAAGCCCAGTGTCTAGATTCAGCCCATAAAGGAGCCCCCAATAATACCCAAAGGACTCAAGTGGTCACAAAATGCCACTGTTGACAAGAGACTTTGAGATCTCAGAATTGAACAGATGAGAACATTTGGACCTAGGAGGGGAAGGGTCATCTCAAAGGAACAGACAAAAGAAGGAGCAGCAGTACATTAACTCGGACCCAGGTCTTTTGATCTCCAGGCTGGTTTATTTTCTTAGCCTGGCAGGCTGTATGGTCAGGGCAGAGGGCCAATCTCTAGAGTCGCCCCCTTCCATCATCTGGGAGGGATTAAGACAGGGTTTGGTTTTATGGAGCAGGCTTGGGACCTGAAAAAATTATGGTCTGTAATTGATGGCTCATTGGCTCTGGTGTCTGGATTTCCACTCCGAATCTGCGTCCCAGTTTGGGTAGGGGGTTCGGGTCCTCCTCCCTACCCTCCCCTCCTCCTCGGCGCACTCACATGCCACCCTGTGAAT